ATATATATATATATATATATATATATATATATATATATATATATATATATATATACAGTCCCTGTCTTAGTATTTATACAGCCCCTGTCTAAGAATATTTACTGTCCCTGTCTTACCATATATTATACCTTTTTATATTATACCTTAGTATATATACAGCCACTGTCTTACTATATAAGACACTATATGAGACAGGGGCAGTAAACGTACTGCCCCTGTCTTAGTATTGCATTTGTACATCTATAAAAGCAATTCTTAATATAAAAATAATTGAATTAGAAAATTAGAAAAAAAAATTAGAAAAAATAAATACACAGAAATGAATAAAACCATTTTTACCTCTAAATGTACATTTCCAAACATAGGTATTTCAGTATCTGTTTATCACGCCTGGAGGTGTCTGCTTTTGTTTTGTCAAGTCTTGGTCTCGTCACTTCCTGTTTTGTTTTGAAAACTAACTCTCCTCTCGTTTCAGATCTCTGGCCCTCCCTCGTGTGTCCTCCCTGATTCCTGACTGTGTCCCCGGGCTGTTCGGTTCTCCTCTCGTGTTCTTAGGGTCTGCTCCTTGTCTTGTTCCACATCCTTGTCAGCTTTTGAACGTCATCCTGTAGCCGTCCTCACCCCCCCCCCCCCACTGTCTGTCACGTCCTCCATGCTCTCTACCTCAGGTCTTGTCTTTGTCTGTTTTTTTGGTTTTCTATCTCTGGGTTTTGTTTGGGGTTTTCCCCACAGTTTATCCACATTTTTCCCCAGTCTTATAGGGATTTAATGCATTTTTACCCAGAACCATAATCATTCCAATAAGCTCCTTGAGGTCTGTGTCGGCTTTAGTTCAGACCTCCAGTTTTTGGCGCTGAATCTAATTTCCTAGACCGTCCTCAGATCAGATAGCAGGCAGCTGGTGGGCACCAGAGCAGCCAAACAGAGATGGGGCTGGGTGGAGGGGATGTAGGCCAGTCCGCTGGCCTACATTCTGCTCCTCTGTGACGCACACAGCTGAGTTATGGAGAGGGTTCATCTCTGTTGTCTGTAAACATCCCTAACCTCCTCTCACATTGCTGGACCCTGCTCCGCAGCAGGATGCCCACACTGGAGAGCGGTCTCTCTCCGGTGACCTGGCAGAGGAACACGATGGCGGGCTGAGGCTGAGCTGACTCCCAGTGATTCAGACTCTCAGGTCTCAGACCTGACATTTGCAGCCATATCACAGGCCACTGAGTCAGCGGCGGCCTTTCTCATCAGCCTTTTCTGCCTCATCTCTCCAGGCATTCGCACACTCTGCCGGTTTTAGGATGCAAAGGACGTTTGGAGCCATGCAGCGGACGCATTAGCAAAAGGAGCTGTTGCTGCTTCACAGTTGTGTCTTTCACCAGACCAAGACTTTATTCAATCCTGTTCCTAGAAACCCCATTTATCTCTCAGGGAGAAATCGTCTAGCAGATTATAACAACCTGAGGTGGTATAAAGGCGAAGGATTAAAGCTGCCCAGGGTCTGAAGCATATTTACTAAATGAGGGAATTTGAAATCTTGGCTGCTTTTACAGGTTTCCTCACCACATTTATATTTAAAATATAAATTAAATCCATTTCCAGGGGAACCCAAGTGGCAGACAGTGTGGGCTGATGAGAAAAGGCTATTTCCTTATTGCACTGTACTGGGATGAGGTTGTATTTGTTATTGTGGATATTTATTTAGAAGATTAAGGGCTTCATAAGGCGCCATTGGCTGTTCCTGGTTCCTGGTTATTTTCTAGCCCTATCATCACTCTTCAGACTTATCACTATCTTTGCTTTCACTTGATCTAAGACACATCCTCTCTGTTGAATCTCCAGGGCACATTCTTCTGTTTCAGTTACCTGCGTCCTGTCACCCACTGAAACACAATTGCTAATATTTAACGAAAAAATACACAAGGACACACGTTTGGTTGCAAAATGTAATTTTTCATCATCCTGTATTTATTTTCCCAAAGGGAAAAGCTTAAGTGCACATCGCCCTGGTAGATACGTTTGTGTAGTATAAATACAGTAAAGCATATTTCTTTTCCAGGACAGGAGGTCAGTAGATCGTGTTGGCATCATAAGCGTTCTAGCTAACTGTGCGTAGTGCACGCTGTGTGTCTTTGAGTTGAAGCTGTGGTGAACAGGCTGAGAACATGAAGCTGGATGGCATTGTGAGGGAACACTCCCCCTGAACTCAAACAGAACCAAATAGATGAATTCTGCTGGTCCGAGTGCCAAAGGAGTCCCATTCATTCCAGAGTTAATCATGTTCAGGGGGCTTGATCTGCTCCACTCTGTCAGTATTTTCTTAGCTCAGCCTCCTCCATGTTGCTGTGTCATTGCTATGTGATGCATGCGACTGGTTGTGTTGCCTTTGTTTGTGTCACCACCACTGGTCCTGGCAAAAGAGAACCCAGAAGCACGACCACGAGGCGGGCGAGTTGTGAGGGAAAATCCCTGAGGGGTCAAAACCAGGAGATCAAATATACAGGCAAACACATCCGATAAGGGGCAGGCAGTGCCAGACAATCTGGCAGGGATGAAGTGGAAATGGACCGGTATAAACACTGAGGATCAAATGAGCTAACGAACTGCAGGTGAGGAGACGGGAGGAGAGAACCAGGTGAGGGGAACGAGTGACCGCATGGAAGGGAAGAAAGACAGGACCTGAGAAGACGGGAAAATGAGTGACCAAAACAAAAACAAACTCAGTGCTAAAGTAACTACGTTACAGTTTGTCTATGATTAGTAAAACTCCCTTATTGCAGTACGTTTGCAAAGATCTGAAAGATGACAAAGGCCTTAAAAGGCACCAAGAACACTCTTCTTCTAATAGCACATGTTCTAATATACAGTCCAGCTACTACCCCCATCCTGAGCACGTACAGGGTGACTGTGGAAGGAAAAAACTCCCTTAACAGGAACAGGGCTCTGGCAGGACCAGGCCCGGGGGGGGGGGGGGGGGGGGGCCGCCATCGGCGGGGATGGGCGGGGTTTGAGAGCACAGGGAGGAGGGACAGCCGGGGATAGCTGAAGAGGAGCAGAAGCACAAGCTAGTGATAACAGCACGCATGTGGAACACCACCAGGGAACTTTGCTCTGGTTTGTGCGTGAATGTTTTGTACAGGATTCTGTCTTTGTTGAAGCTGTTATGTCTTTTGTGGAGCCCTAAAAAAGTTTTTTGTGTTCATCTTCACATATTCTAACTGTGGAGTCAGATTAGGTAAATAACCACGAGCAGATTTAAATGGATCTGGGAGTGAAATTCATATCCTGACTTCCCAAATAATAACCTCAAAGTAATGGGACTAAAGCACTTGGCATGTGCTGCCAGCTTCATAATGTGACAGATAACAAAGTGAATTTTTCTGATGCGCTCCTATTGGTTTAATCCAGCGTGCCACGCAGAGTGTGCTGCAGCCTAGTAGGATTATGTGTGCTGGGCTTAGTTGGCCCACTCTCGCCTCCTCTTTGCCCCAGTTTTTATTGAACCATGCTCAGAAAGGATGAACAAGAGCTATCTGTGCATACTACAGGACGGAGGGGACAGATGGAGCAGTGGGAGGAAAAGGAGTAAACAGAAAAGACATACAATAAAGAAAATCTACTCCTGACGAGTATTAAGTCACAAAGCCAACAGAGATTAAGGGGAAAGACTTGGATATTATGAGTTGCAGAATGAAGAGCACGTGATGAGAGTCCAGAGTTCCTTCCTGTCCAGAGATTTCCACGGCAGGCTGTGCGCAGTCAGCAGACGCCCAGGAGCTGCCATGATGAGTGTGTAGTCACGAAAGGAGGGCAACATATCCTAATGCACCCCCACCCTCTCAAGCCCAGGCTGTCCCCATTTCCATCAGGAGCTCCTGCCTCTGCCGGCCCATATTCATTTTAAATGTGCGACTGCGGTAATGCTCTTCATTATTAACCAACGCTCATTTCCTTCATCGGAGCTCTGATTCCTGCTCTCTCTGAGAGATTCCACAGCTGCCTGCTCAGCGTCTGGTGTCTGCCTGGTGAAAGGGGTCTGGAACCGGGCGATCTGAGGAGGCCCCCTGACTAAACCCACAAGCGTGTGCAGGACCAGGAAAGAATCTAGAGATTTCATATGTTAAACTCTTCTGTAAGAACCCAGGCAGCCTCGGTGACACCCAGCCTGTCAGAGCAGATGTGTTTATGCGGGGCTGATCCACAACACAGGTCATCTCGGAGCATCGACTCCTGTTTCTTTGGGATGGCCCAGTGGCGGCTGTCACAGCCAGTTGTTGTGGGTGTGGATTTCAGTTTTTAATCTACAATGAAAGGTCACTTCAGAGAGGCTGGTTAAAGTTTGTTGTTGTGACAGAAACAGACATGGTGAGGAATGCCCTTAATGCCACTGAGGTTCTGGAGACTCAGTTTCCAGCTCCTCTTTTCCACATGCGGTAGCAGCTTCGTCTTCAATTCCAACCTAGATATTGGCCGTAAGGACATTTGTCCATGTTGTGCTGTTAAAGCTTTAAGTGTTGTGAAATACTGCTCCACTAAGATCGTCTGGTCACACAAACTGGAGTGTCTTCCAACATTAAGGAGCTCAAATCGTGCAAACACTGTTTCGTGTCTTGATTGGATGAGCCTCGGAAGGTCTGTCCACCTACGCTCTCTGACCAATGACCAAACCAGCTATCTGAAATGAACTGAATTAGCTAGATGAAGTGCCAAATCACAGCAGATATCACCTCTATGCACTTCAAAGATATACTTCAGATGGACTGTGATGCCCGCCCGCTGTCTGGTGCCCACATGGTGCCGGCCCGGTTCCGGCCTGGCTCCACCTGGGAACTCTCCGATACAAAGAGGAGGACTTTCCGGTCAGGAGACGGGTTGCAGCATGAGCTGAGGCAGGAGCTGGCGGAGTGTACAGACTCCAAAAGAAGGAAACTGGAGGCAGGACTGCAGGAGAATGCCCTGCTCAGTCTTGGTCCAGGATGAGTGGGACCTGATGTGGTCCGGTTGGGCCCCGACTGTGTTGACAACATTTCCATGTGAGAATGGTCTGAATGAGGGGGGAGAGCTGGTATCTCTGCTGTGACACGTCTGGACCTGGGCTCTGCCCCTCAGCTCCTGCCTCCTTCCTGCCTGAGTCAGGGGGACTTGCGTGATTGCGGGTCAGTGCTCATGGCCTCTTTGTTCCTGTTCTGCTGTGGCTCTGACACCTGGCTTGCCGCTCCCTCCCAGCTCCTCATTAACTGCTGCTGATACTAACAGGAAGCGATCACCCGGAAAAATGGGCCATTTGGTAGCAACAGTAGGGCTTATATTCCAACCCGTCTGAAGACTGACACTCCATAGCATCGCTAACAATCTTCACAAGGACCTGTTTCATGTCATTCATCTCATTTCGGAGACTTTGGGGCTTGAATGAAAAACATATTTGGATTCATTAGAAAGTAGGACGAAGCAGCAGCTTATATGAAAAACTCGATGCTGTATTGTTGTAAACTTTATTGGAGTCTTATCAGATTTGATAACCAACAGTAACATGGTGATGGACAGCACTGCTAAGGGGGCCAATAGGGTGGTTGGTCTTTTAGCAAACCACTGAGAGGAAGTCTCAACAATGAAGAAATGCCTCCTTCTTTGGCCACGTTTTACACAGACTGTAAAGTAAAAACTTTCTTTTTATAAAAACATTTTGTTGTTTCCATCCATTATGGTAACCACTTATTCCCTAATGGGGTCGCGGGGGGACTGGAGCCTAACCCAGTAGCCAATGGGGAGAGGCGGGGTCACCCTTCCTTCTGGGGGAGTCCTCAGTCCATCACAGGGACACACAGAGACACACAAGGACCAACAACCACAGACACTCACACTAAGTGCAGTTTGGAGTCCAACCAACCTAACATGCAGGTTTTTGGACGGTGGGAGGAAGCCGGAGAACCCGGAGAGAACCCACAGACACAGGAGAACATGCAGACTCCACCCAGAAAGGTCCTGGTTCCCCTAGGACTCCAACCCAGAACCCTCTGGCCGCCCCTTGTTGGTTCCAATTACCTTTATTTGAAAGTTGCACGATAGCAGAAGGAGCAGAAAGAGACTGTGAAAAGGGCCAAGCCTCAGCCCGAAATGCAAGACTCTAAAACATGAAAATTTGAGATGACTGTTTTAAATCCCATCCTTAGAGACTCGGCTGCTGTGGGACTGTCAGGAGCTAATATCTCTGCCGGTATGGGGTGCATTAGCGCACACAGCATGAGTAAGTTGAACATCTGAGAAAGCACCATTAATGCAGAACCAAATGCATTATGCAAGTTTTTAAGAATTATACTCAAAGCTGGAGGATGATGTTTTTCTAGAGAGGGTCTGGCGTATTTGAACTAGAAAGCTGAAAACCACATACTGCACACTCCAAATGGACTGCCCTTATATAATACTTGTCTAAGCTCATTGAGCCCTTAAATCATCTTACTCTACAAACCACAAGTCCACAAAATCCATGTGTCTGATTTTCTTTGTCACACTGCCCCGACATGGAGTAAAAGCAGATATTTATAGTAGAGACACAACAGCTTTTAAAGTTTAAACTCAAACTTTACAAGGGGATTTTTTTGTTGTTGCATTTTCTTCCTTTTAGTCATGCCAAGACTACAGGTTTGAACACTTGAAGAGGAGCCGTAAATAACAAGTTGTGAGGTCATATGTGGCAGGAGTTTCTGACTCAGAAGGATCTTCTCCTAACATGACATTTCTGGGTTCTTCAAACCCTCAGTCAGAGGCTGCTCCGTCCTAAGGATAAAACACCCAAACACAAACTTAATGGCCTTATATATATGCGGCACAGTGCAGTGTGGGGGGCTCTACAAAAGACACATCAGCTCCACAAAGACATGGAACAGCAGAGGAGGAACTCCAGGACAAGACTCAGTTCATCTGCCTCTCAAGGATGAGGGACACCCTCTTTAGGAGAGGGCTGTGCTCATTCTGGACACAGAAGCCAGGTGGTTTGAGAGGAGTGAAGGAGGCCAACTACGTTAAACTGTGAAAACTAGCTCTAAACCGAGGAGGGGAGGGGTCCCAGGTTCCACCTTCCAGCTTGTCCCACCTCCCAGGAGGGTTCAGCCATTCACACCTGGGACCCAGTGACCAGAACTCAGCCTTTAGACAATTAGACAATCTACTGGAGAACAGACTCTAAGCCAGAGGGACCTGCTCTTCTTCTTATAATCTGAGAGAGCAGTTTGGACCTGAACAGGCCCTTTGAGATGAGATTAAACAACTTCAAGATCCAGGAAGGTGACCTCGGATAGCTTTTCGTCTGTCCTCAGCCCGTAGGATTACCAGGACCTGCATGACTATCCAAACCAGCGTAAGGACAAAGCAGCTGATCAGAGATTCTGAAAATATGTTTTGGTCTGAAGAAAGTTCAAGTGAAATTAAACATGACATATTTAAGTTTTTCTGGACCTAAAAAATATTACCCAATATATTTCGTGAAGAATTGACATAAAATGCGATTTTGTGGTCAATTGTGTGTTCAAACGGGAGAAGGAGAAAGAGAACTATATCAGTCTTCCATAAAAATGTACTGGAATGATGCAGGCAGAGGTGATTTGTATCGACTGGCCCTCTGTGAGCATCTGTCTGTCCTCAAAGGGTAGGCTTTCCCCTCAGAAATGCTCTCTCACGATAATATGAATTATTCAGAATGACTTGGATACACAACCCTAACAGGCTGGTTTCACCTGGAATAGTTTCCTCTCTGAGGGGATGGGGGGGTCTGAGGCTTGTGGAGGGGACGGCAGACAGCAGAAGGCCCTGGTTGTGTCGTGAAACCATGAATCAGCCGGAGAGCGGTGCGTTAGCTTCAGTAGAGCCCTTTGAGCGTGTTCCACTGCATACAGCAGTTTGAATACAAAAAGGCAGCTTACATTACTCACTTTACAGAGTGATGGACAAGCCTTAGTCAAATCAGGGACTCTGTGTTGGTTCACTCGAATCATCCTTCTAACAGACAGCCTTTTACGTGAGTGTTCCTCTCTGCTGGCTTGCTTGCTTGTGCCAACCCAGAAATCCAGAAAAAGGTGTTTATGAAGACATTTCTGAGCTCACAGTTTTCACATTCTGGTTTTTGAGACAAACTGCTGAGCATCACACTTTTCAAGAATCCCATGGAATGAAATGAAAACCATTGCATGAATGTGGTTAAGAGAAATGTGGTTCTATTTGTGATATTATGTGCAAAAACCTAGTGAGGCTCCTCTGGAGCTGTTCACAGGCTGGAGAGGAAGGTGAGCACAGTGAGTTTGGTCTTTTTTACATGCCCTAAAAACCTTTGTCTTTCTTTTGGGCAGAAGTACTAATGGACTCAACAACAGCAACGGCTGAGCTAGGCTGGACCATCTACCCATCACAGGGGGTGAGTTAACCATCCAAAGCAGGCCACGTGATCTGGAACTGAACATATTGAGGCAGCCGGGCCCCAGAGACGGGACAGCAGATGTCCTGTACATGTATCTGCACCTCAAGGGACAGAAACATGCTGTAAAGACAGGAGTTCCCATCATACGGAGGGCCTACAAACAACACATTCACAGACTCACACACTATGTGTGTATCGACTTACTATAAGTAGCTTAGCTGTAATTCAGCATGCCATTCATTTGTGTATCAACCTGATGGAACTCTGATAGTTCTGGTTGAGGAGTTGTGATAGAATTTTCCCACCTCTGATATGACTTGGTGAGGAATGGCTGATGTCAGCACCTCTATACTAAAGAAGTCACAAACAAACTCTGGCAGCCTCTTTGTCTTAAGACTGAGCACAAAACTGAATTTTAACATGCCCCTCTTATAAATAATGTAGCACTTTTCAAAACGACTGATCCAAGTTGAAGAAACGCAGTTGCCTACCAGTCAGAAGTCGGTGCTTCGACTAGGCTGTCCTGGGCCCCATGTCAAAGTATCCTCGGGTACATTTTCCTGCATTCCTGACAGCACTTAGGATAAAGCATCTTCTAAATGTAATGTTGTGATAGGTTCAGGAGGGAGGAACAATCTGCCAGATGTTAGAAGAATCAGGAAACAAGATCCGGGTTGGAAACATCAGTGTGATGGAGAAAAGCTTGTCATTCCAGTCACGTTTTTTATCTCCTCTTTGTCTCCTAGTGGGAAGAAGTCAGTGGATATGATGAAAAGATGAACACCATTCGAACATACCAGGTATGCAATGTCTTTGACAACAGCCAAAACAACTGGATACGCACCAAGTACATCCGCCGGCGTGGCGCCCAGCGCATCCACGTCCAGATGAAGTTTTCAGTGCGCGACTGCAGCTCCATACCCAACGTCCCCGGCTCCTGCAAGGAGACCTTCAACCTCTACTACTATGAGTCGGACTCTGACGGGGCCACGAAGTCGTCCCCGGCCTGGATGGAGAACCCCTGGGTGAAGGTGGACACCATCGCGGCCGATGAAAGCTTCTCTCAGGTGGACCTGGGTGGCCGAATAATGAAGATCAACAGTGAAGTCCGAAGCTTTGGGCCCGTCTCACGGAACGGCTTCTACCTGGCCTTCCAGGATTACGGAGCCTGCATGTCTCTCATTGCGGTGCGAGTCTTCTACAGGAAATGCCCGCGCGTGGTCCAGAACGGCGCGGTCTTTCCTGAGACCCTGTCTGGGGCAGAGAGCACCTCTCTGGTGGCAGCCAGGGGCATGTGTGTTCCCAACGGGGAGGAGGTGGACGTGCCCATCAAGCTGTACTGTAATGGCGACGGGGAGTGGATGGTCCCCATCGGGCGCTGCATGTGCAAAGCCGGCTTCGAGGCGCTGGAGAATGGCACCGTGTGCAGAGGTGAGGAAGCGGTCCCTTCAGCGCTGCATCTGGGGGGTCATAAAACTGGCTTTTTGACATGTGTTCACACACAAAAATGGCTCCCCTGTCTGTAATTGTTCACTCGACACACAGAACTTGGTGACATTCAACAACTTTTGACAAACTTTGCAGGATATTCACATTGAACATGGAGACAATACAATACTCAGTTAAAGCTGGAATTCCAGACAAAAGCATACAGGAGGCAGCCATTGCTTAAAACTGTACATTTCAATTAGAGCAAGTCCATTCCCCAAATAGCAAATGTGACTTTAATCACGCATGACCTATATCTTCAGTTTCCTTTGAACAAACCCGACCGTGAGTCATGGCGTTGACTCATGGCTGGTGCGGCTGCCAGACTCAGTCACCTTTTCAGAGTTTCCATAACCCAGCCCAGCACAGGCCTTAGCCCAGGTTTATATCGCAGCATAACCTGTTGGCTTTGACCTTTAAGCTGCATTTGCGTGCTGAAAACTCTGATTGGTCTGAGTTTCCCGTTATTTTGTTCTGTGGTTTATTCTGGTCACCAAACTGCCAGCAGTGAATCAAAGACAGTTGTCTTAAACAAACGGCAACGATAAGAAACGCCCATCCTCTCAGTACCAGAGTCTAACTGACACACAACAGCACGGGACTCACTGTAAACTATTAACCCATCATTGGCCGGTCATGGATCATGGATGTTTGTACAGGAGTTTGTACAGACTGGTCTTTTTTTAGAAGCTGATTTTCAGGCTATCACTATCAACATGTGGCTTCTGGAAACACAGTCTATAATAGCTGCCACTAAATAAAAAACATACAATAGTCAATGATTTGGAATGAAAGCATCGTTTTCTCTTATTTTACTGTCTCTTTTAATGTCAAGCTAATCCCTTCTGCTCTCCTCTTTCCTTTGCTGCTGGGTGTGTTCTTTACAGCGTGTATGTCCGGGTTCTTCAAGGCTGCGCAAGGAGAGCACAAATGTCTGCAGTGCCCCATGAACAGCCGAACCATCAGCGAGGGAGCCACTAACTGTGTGTGTCGCAGCGGCTACTACCGCACCGACGCCGACCCTCCACAGATGCCCTGCACCAGTAAGCATGCGTGTGGTTGCAGAGTCCTAGGCTCAAAAGAGCTGATCCAGGGTGGTAAAGCAGTGCTAGGTGATAGACATGAGGTAGAAATGAACCTGAACGGACAGGGCAAATGGAGTCACACAGAGAATAAAGATGGGAGCTTTCTTTGCCCTCACAGCGGTTTAAGGCGGCGTTGTTTCTTTCCTTTGCTCATCAGCCGTTCCATCAGCCCCACAAAACGTCATCTCGATTGTCAATGAGACTTCCCTGAGGCTGGAGTGGAGCCCGCCAAAGGAGGGTGGGGGTCGGGAGGACGTGGTCTACAACATCATATGTAAGAGCTGCGGCAGTGGGCGCGGCAGCTGCACGCGCTGTGGGGACAACGTCCAGTTTGAGCCCCGCCAGCTGGGACTGACCGACACCCGGGTCCACATCAGCGACCTGCTGGCCCACACCCTCTACACCTTTGAGATACAGGCCGTGAACGGAGTGTCGGACCAGAGTCCGTATTCCCCCCAGTACACGTCTGTCAACATCACCACCAACCAGGCCGGTGAGTCGGTGCTCGCTGCTCTTTAAATCATTTCTCAAACTGGATGCCACGTATACCTGACAGTTGACCAAACAACAGGCCAACATCAGTCACACCAGTTAAACATTTATACCAACAAATACTTTCTCTCGTTTTCCTTCCAGAACATTTAACCACATCCTAAATGTATCCCCTCCACCTGATTTTGATCAGATTAGCTTGTCAGCCTCTCCATTGCTTAGGTTGTATTAAAACCCCTTAGCCAATCATCTGATGTCAGAGCTGTGACCATTTCCCAAACAGGGCCTTTTCCCCATCCTTCCTTATCCTTAAACATGTGTGTTCATTATGTCATATTCGCTAAACTTGCCCAAAGCTGAGGATGAGGTCAGGTTAGGATATTTTGTACAATGCCATTGATTCGAAATGAGTTCTTCATTCTGTTTTGCTTCAAATCAGAGTTTGATTTGAGGTTTTTTTTGTCTCTAGCACCATCAGCAGTGTCAATCATCCACCAGGTTAGCAGGAGTCCTAACAGCATCACTCTGTCCTGGTCTCAGCCTGATCAGCCCAACGGGGTCATTCTGGACTACGAGCTGCAGTTCTATGAGAAGGTAGGTCAGCCCGACTGGACTGCATCCCATCAGCCACTGGGATCCTGTGGAGAAGCTGCCTCTCAATGCTGTGCTGTCTGACGTTTCAGAACCAAGCGGAGTGGAATGCGTCTCTGACCCGGAGTCAGACTAACACCGCGGTAGTGCGGGGCCTGATGCCTGGGACTATCTACGTCTTTCAGGTTCGGGCTCGGACCGTTGCTGGCTTTGGACGCTTCAGTGGCAAAATGTACTTCCAAACCATGACTGATGGTACGACTAACTGTATTTACTGAGATCTTTGCCCTGGGATGCTGACATCTGTATTTCCCAGTGACTCATATGCCTTGATTTTTGTTTTTAAACCGTAGAAGAATATAACTCCAGCATACAGGAGAAGCTCCCGCTGATCATTGGTTCATCTGCTGCAGGAGTGGTCTTTATCATCGCCATCACCGTCGTCATAATCGTTTGTCGCAGGTGAGTCAGGAAGACCATTGGCCCCTAATCAGTGATAGGAATCATAAACCGGTTTCTTCTGAACACTACAGAGCACCTCGGTGACCTACTGTTCCTAAGAGGTGCTCAGGGGAGATCAGGTTGTGACCAGGTTTTCAATACTGACTGGCAGAGGGGGGGTATGGGCTGTTTTCCGCTTGCCGGTGTCTGGGAGAGAAATGAGTGATTAGTCTGGTGGTTTATATTCTGTGAAGAGTTATTTCCTGAAGCTGATAACTGACTTGTGGGAGGACAAAACTTCGGTATCATAAAGGCTGGTCCTTAATAAATTAAAAGAGACCAAAGGTGCCTCTAAGACCACGGGTGTCAAAACATTACTGATTCATGTCAATTTGTGAAGGCCTGTGCAGAGGCCTTAAAGGCAATACTAAGTTTGCTAGGCTCCTTTGAATGACTAAAGTGAGTGGGTACTGGTTGTTTGTTGTTATGTTATCCAGACGGCTGCTGGTCAAAAGTGAACCATACTTATTAACGACGAAAAAGAAACCTGCACTAGCAGGACGGGAGGATGGAGGAGTCAATCCAGCCTTCAGGGATCTATTGATACCACAAAGTTGTCACAAAGTTGACGAGGCAGCTCTATCATGGTTTTTGTTTTAATCTCACACGGTGACTTCTAGGCCTTATTCTACAAATGGCCTGTGTGATTGGAGTTTCTTATTGAGTGTATTGTTTCACAGCAGGAGAAGTTCAGACAGACCAGAATCAGAGTACACCGACAAACTCCAACATTACACCAGTGGTCACAGTAAGTCCACACTTACTGAACATATTTAACAGATTAGATTAATCTTTTAATGAGTATGTCAAAGTGTCTGATTGTTGCTTCCTTTGATCAAGTTGTTGTTGTTTCTTCTCTGATAAGTGTCACCAGGAATGAAGATCTACATCGATCCCTTCACCTATGAAGATCCAAATGAGGCTGTCAGAGAGTTTGCCAAAGAAATTGACATTTCCTGTGTTAAAATAGAGCAAGTGATTGGTGCAGGTAAAGGAAAAAGAACCAAAACCACCCTGCAAGGTTAGAATTGCATCACTTAGAACCTTCAATGTAACTTCAAGATGGCATCATAAAAGTCCAAACTGGTGAACTAATATATAGTGCAAAGATTCCTCCCCACAGTTCAATTCAGCTCAGTTCACTTTTATGGACAGGGTTAGGGTTATAGTGCCTCAACACTGGGCACTTCATATTCACAACCCAATTATATTATTGAAATATATACATAATCCATCCATCCGTTTCAAATTAGTCAAATTTTCACATAGCCAATTCAAAAACATTGTCCAGCTAAAGAAACCAACAGATTGCATTTTATTGTCTCTGTGATGGAAGTATCTTAAACTCCAATGTTCCTCACCTCCCAAAGACTAGAATCTATTGTTAAAAAAAATAAAAATAAAAAGGACTAGAATCTAAGGAAAAACTATTCAGAATAGCATAACTTTAATGTACATTTTCTCTCTCTATGAACATATATATTGAAATGGCTTATGATAGCAAACTGTATTTATGAACCTGGACAGCAGGAAGTTTAGAGAACTGATTTTTTCACTGGTTCACTTTGGCATTGTCTGAAGTGGGACTTTTTCGTTTAACTCAGTTCTCTTCTCATTGTATTAGGTGAGTTTGGGGAGGTATGCAGTGGAAACCTCAGGCAGCCTGGAAAGAGAGAGATCCTGGTGGCCATTAAGACACTGAAGGCAGGCTACACTGAGCGCCAGAGGAGGGACTTCCTGAGTGAAGCATCCATCATGGGCCAGTTCGACCACCCCAACATCATCCATCTGGAGGGAGTGGTGACCAAGAGCAGCCCTGTGATGATCATTACAGAGTTCATGGAGAATGGCTCCCTTGACTCCTTCCTCAGGGTAATGCACGCTACCTTCCTAACACTAACACTCCATCAAAAGATTTCCTGGCAGCTTTTTCTTTGACACAATAATTAAGAGTTTGATATCAGTTAGGTTACCACTTCTGGTGACCCCCTCAGCTCACTTATTTCGAAGTCACTCTTTCTATATCTAAGCAGTCAAGGTGGAGCCATCACTTCACTAAATCTGTTCAAACTCAAACAAAATGTCTGAGTTGTTTTTGAGGGAATCGTGAAGACATTTCGGGGTCAGTCTGGTCAGTGAGGCATGCTGAATCCTTCTTTCTCCTCAGTTCTTCCAGCTGCCTTTCCTGCTCTGTACACGCTGAGCTGCATTCCCATTGGCAGCACTCTCCTGTCTGATCAATTCAATATGCTAGAGCCTTTAGCAGTTATTTCCATAGCCTGAGATTGGAGAGCACCATGCAGTTATTGGGAACCTGAAAAGGAACCTCATTTGGTTCCACAAATGATCAATAGGATGTGAGGCACAAAATTACTGACAGTTTGTGGCTCCAGAGTTTGAAGGCAGATCAGCTTTATTGGTTTCAGTGCCTTAAAGTGTCTGCACAAGCAGTGACAACCATGGTTTGTCTCTCAGGCTTTGAGGCAATATTATTTTAACATGTTAAAGGACACGAAAATAAAATGAAATCGAGAACAAAAGCCAGAGGAGCTGTGGCCCTCAGCCAGTGAGGATCTGATGGTTTTCTTTTCGCAGCAAAATGATGGGCAGTTCACCGTGATCCAGCTGGTGGGAATGCTGCGTGGCATCGCAGCAGGAATGAAATACCTCTGTGACATGAACTATGTCCATCGAGACCTGGCAGCAAGGAACATTCTGGTCAACAGCAACCTGGTGTGCAAAGTGTCCGACTTCGGCCTGTCCCGCTTCCTCGAGGATGACACTTCAGACCCCACCTACACAAGTGCACTGGTGAGACCCATCGTAGGCTGCAGGCGCTTGATGAACAAGGAAGTAGACTAATTGTGTTCTAAATGTGTACCCGAGCAAATGGAGAGCACCAGAATACAGTTACCAACACTGGAACGTTTCTCCCAGCTAAATGTTTCCTTTCCTGTTTCTCCAAGGGAGGAAAGATTCCCATCCGGTGGACAGCTCCAGAAGCCATTCAGTATAGGAAGTTTACCTCATCCAGTGACTGCTGGAGCTATGGCATAGTCATGTGGGAGGTTATGTCATATGGAGAAAGGCCCTACTGGGACATGAGTAATCAAGACGTAAGTAAAGCTCTGTCAGCATCCATTAAGGAGCCCTGACACGTCCAGTCAGGGGTGTGACTGACGCTTCAGTTTGACTCACTTGTCTGGAATCACTTCATTTCATCACTAACTGAGCTGAGCCTTAGGGAGACCCAAGCTGAATCTATTCCATCATGTGAAAACATCATGAAACCATTTTTTTCCCGTTCCCTAGCTTAAAAGTCGAATGGACGCTAACAGGCCTCTGAGCTTTGTGACAGTTATGACTGTGCCTTCCTCTCTGTGTCACACCTCGTTAGCTTCCGTCTGCATCTGTTTCTGTTCTTTTCGTCCTCTGCAGGTGATCAATGCCATAGAACAGGACTACAGGTTGCCCCCGCCCATGGACTGTCCCAGTGCGCTGCATCAGCTGATGCTGGACTGCTGGCAGAAAGACCGAAACAATCGGCCCAAGTTCAGCCAAACCGTCAGCACCCTGGATAAGATGATTCGCAACCCCAACAGCCTGAAAGCCATGACCCCCCAGTCCTCCAGGTACGGCCGGCAGGCTGCCCTGACCCACAGCCCTCACGAGTCAGAGCCCTCATTTGTCTTCTTTCTGTCCTCCAGCGTTCACTTACCTCTTCTAGATCGCAGCACTCCAGACTTCTCCTCCTTCAGCACGGTGGATGACTGGCTGGAAGCCATTAAGATGGGGCAGTACAAGGAGAACTTCACCAGCGAAGGCTTCACCAGCTTCGACGTGGTGTCTCAGATGAGCATGGAGTACGATAAGTCCCTTTATTTCCTTGTTGTCAACCAGATAAATCCCACGAGAAGGGTGTTGTGGCAATGTATCTTATCGTGATCAATGCTTGTTATAAAGCTACCCCAATTTGCATTCCGTGACTAGAAAACTAATATGTCACTAAAGAGGCATCTTTGACAGGGAATCAAGATGTCATTCACCTTCTGTGATCTTGATCTTTAGTAAGTAGGCCTTGTTCATCAGGTGAAGCAGAAAGATGACATGAGGCTTTTCATTAGTAATTTCTATTATTACTTTTCCATATTTGGCATGTACTCAGTGGAATTAGACTTTATGCCAGCCCTTAATCAATGAATTACATTTTTCAAGATTCAGTTGTTTACAGTTGCAGTGCTGTACCTGCATTGGAAGTCGCTTTAGATGTAAGCGTCTGCTGAACGCACAAACAGAAACATATATAGAAGATTTCTGAAGGGCATGATGTAGACTCAGTAATGGTTCCCCCTCTGGTATCACATCTAAAGCTAAATCTGCCCATGACTGTGCCTCCACCACTGTGGAAAAGACTGGCTTGTGTAGGGCACCATGTACGTAGCCCAGGGGATACTAGCTGATTCGTTATAGATAACATGAAGTCTTACCATCTGCAGACAGTTAGCAGCTCAGCAAAGCATGTGTGCACATGATCAAAGCTCAGTCCGCAGCTGTTGTTGTTCTGGGGCAACACTTTGCTGACGCTACGGGATCCGGAGGGAGATTATTTGGCACCAGAAAACAGGAATTCTTGAGCTCCATCAAGAGTCGGTCTGCTGGAGCTGCAGAAGAGACTAACACGTGGTTTCTTCTCAGGGATATCGCCCGGGTGGGGGTGACACTGGCTGGCCACCAAAAGAAGATCCTGAACAGCATCCAGTCCATGAGGGCACAGATGAACCAGATCACCTCAGTGGAGGTGTGATCTCAGAGACGGGCTCCACTCTCAGTAGGAGAACCCAGGAGCCACCCACCCTGCTTTCTCCTGAGCTTCTGAGGAAGGCTGATGACTGCCTCACAGACTGAGACTTCAATCCAACCTCAGGTCCACCCTCCCACCAGACTCTCCCCAGAGGGCTCCAGTAGTGGGCAGCGCGCCTGTCGCTGCTGCTGCATGTTCAGGAAGCAGCCGTGCTTTGGGGTTGATGTCCTCCTAATCCTGTCGTAGGATTCCTCCCTGTGTGTCTCCTAAATGTGGCATGACCACCAGCACCTGATTACGTCACTCCCAGAGTTGGCCTTGCGACAAATTGTTATAAAAGAGCCTAATATGTGTCGATTGAGTTTTGTGAATTAGACGTGCATGGTCCCCCATGCAAAGCAGCACAGTCCAGCGTAATTAGCCCCGCCGAGCACACCGATTCCCAAACGCCAGCTGGCCACCTCGGCCTTTCAGTCCGAGGATTCTGGGGCCGTGCCACACGGTGCTTCTGCTGTCCTCATGCTGGAGAAGGAAGAACACAGGATGAGGGCAGGAGCCCGGCGGTCTGATATTCTCCACTTCAGAGCTAAACGGGTGTTTTCTCTGAAAGTCTTACACGCTCTTCCTGTCCGATGATTTTGTTAGAAAGGAGCTCTTGCTGTATTTATCCCCGAGGCCCAAGATACCGGACACATCCATAGACCTTCAGAGCATTGGGATATCTGACTCCAGTTAGCCCCCAGAGGTATTCATGAAGTCAGCTTTTGAAAGCATCGTTTAGGCTTTTGGAGGCACCTTGTCCCTTCCAGAGGAACCCCTGTGAGAGCCCGTGTCTTCATGGTGAATACGATGTGAGAAGACTGTTGTCCTTGATGGAGAGAAGTGCTGACTCTTACAGGAGCTCCCCTCGAATAGCAGAGTAGCTTCCAAAACCCCGAACGACGTCTCACATTCAGCCAAGACATGTCTAAGGGTCTCGTTCCAATGACAGGAGCTTTTTTTCCACTTACAAGAAAAGACAGCGGACGAGAGCGTTTTTCACACAAACGTTGGCTTTAGGATTTTTGGGCACACCTTTGACTGCACATTTAAACAAACTTTGCACATAATTTATTCCATATTATTTTTCCACGAAAACATGATGCATCAATATTTGGGCGCATCAGAACTAATTTGGTTTTCTGTATTTTTCATGCGGATAAAAATTATTTTTGGCCAAATACGGCCATGCACTTCCTTTAATGAGAAGTATTTAGCTACGAAAACATCTCATCAGGTCAGATGGGGACCAGCATGGTAAGCACAGGTCTAATTTCCTCTCCGACCACCTGAATTCTAAAATAATTATTGCTCAGTGACTATATTACCAAGCTTTAAAACAGTGTGTTTACTTCAGAGCATTAAGTCAAATCCTAAACGGAACAAATCCGTATCAGTCTTATTGATCCGTGGCCTGATCATGATGTTCCAAGAGTCCTAAAACCCCCCTGAACCAGCCCCATGATTTAGGTGAAATTCTCCATGTTGGATGCCACCATCAGCTCAGCCTGGACTGTCCCCCGTCTCTGCTTCCACCTTTTGCTTCATCTGGACGCGCCTTAGTTTCTGACCATCAGAGCGGGAGTCCACGCTCTTTGCTTCCTGCCGCCACACGCTGGGCCCTCTGTCTCCACCTGACTGACCGTCCCCGTACCCCCCCCCCACCAGCACCGACATGCAGTGTGGTTTGAGGAGGCACAGGACCAGAGAGCCCTTTCTGAAACTGTGAATTTTTTTAAATGTTATGCACCTACATGCACACTTTATATTGACAGAAGTGAATCCTTCCCCTGGGGTCATGTGATGCCTGAGTGGTTCTCTCTGTCCTCAGGACATGTGGCATGGTGAATCTCTTCCTCCCTCTGTGTGAGCACTAACGCCCTTAACCGTTCACTGTTGCTGTTCCCGAGGACCCGGTCCTGTTTGTAAATGTTTTGAGACCTCGCAGACTTAGCATCAAACTCCTTTTATGACCACACTCAGCAGCACACCCCAGTCTTTCCTCTCAGCCGACCATTTAAAAAAGACTTTTTGAGAACAACCAAAAAAAAAAAAAAAGGATGCGGACATAAGGGTTTTGTAATTTCACCTCATGTTTTGCCACACGGCTCCAGCAGTGCACGTGGCTCAGTGCTGGCCCCCCCGTCCAGCAGACCGGGCGTCCTGCAGACCGGGCGTCCAGCAGACCGGGCGTCCAGCAGACCGGGCGTCCAGCCCACGTCTTCACCGCATCACCTGTACCATATTTAATGGGTGCATGTCTATTTGAGCATATTAGAGCTCCATACTGCACATGTGCTCTGTGTCAGACTGCTCATACCACTCTTATCTGTGTGTGTGCGTGCGTGCGTGTGTGTGTGTGTGTTTTTTTTGTGACTGGGCGCTTCCACTTGACTTTGGACCTCTTAGCACACATTGTTCATGTCCCCTTGGTCCCTAAAAACCTGTCAGAGAGACAAAGATCTGAACTCTGCCTGTGTCTGGTGGGTTCCCTCTGGCTTCCTACCGTCCAAACACATGCCTGTTAGGTGGACTGAAGGCTCTGAATTGTCCCTGGACCCAGCGCGAGTGGCCTGTGTCTGAGGTGGACGTCCACCTGTCCAGGCTGATTCTGTAAAAGTGGGAGGTGATTCTGCCAGACACAGTTACTTTAAACGTCTCCCTCACATATTTGTATACTTGTTTTATCTTGAGTGTGTTATGACCATGAGACTTTTTCCTACCCATATTTTTGGAATCCTTCAGAAACACAAAGGACACCTGAAAGGAACCTTCTATTTTAAAAGATTAATTGTGCGTGTCCCATGTTTGGCCGACAGTATAGGAGCTTCTCAGTGCTTTTCAGAGTCGAACGGAGGCTGTTTCTGCCAGCATTTCTTTTAATGTTGATGAGATAACAACATTCCAGTTCTTAAAATAACAGCTCTAATGAAACTTTGTGATCCTGAGTGAGAGTACGATGCTCAGATGAGTCTGAATTAGGGAAAGCCTCACAGTTTCTGGGTTTTTCTTGGAGTGGTATTATTTTTCTTTTGACTCAGTCTGAAAGTGTAATCATTGTAAAAAAAAAAAAAAAAAAAGTCTGATCAAAATAAATACAGATAGAACGCTGAGTGGTGCTATAGTTCTCTGGCCTGAAAATAACCCCTCACCCCTCCAACTGTACATCCATGAATCCACTATGAGCTTTCTACACTCGTGACAGGGTCACCCACAGCCAAACAAGTCCTACCACTGTGATCTCACTGTAACCTGTTGTCCTCTGCCTCAGTTGTATAAATGTATATTTGATGGAATACCTGTGAATGATGTATCAATTTGAATTATTTGTAATACTGTTACTGGTTTATTTTGTAAAAAACTGGAAAATGAAAAGTAAAAGAAACTCAACACAACAAAGTTTTGTAGCTACTGTCTTAAAATAAAAACCTGAGCAAAGAAAAGTCTGGCCTGCAGTGTATGTCGACACACTAGTGCTGGGACGGGAAAATCCTGCTTTCAGCCCACTGACAAATACCAGACACTAAGATATGACATATCTGTAGTTCCGATGTTTTTCCGTTCATTGCTATTCACATTCAGGGTTTTGGATGAAACGGACACCTTTTTAAAGCTCACAGCGTGATGCACTTCTGCTGAAATAAGACTTATGAACACGTTCTCAGTGTCAGAAAAAAGAATTATAGCTAAAGGACCTTTGGATGCAACAAGGAAGCTGCTCAAGTGTCATGAATTAGACACAGTTCACCCACACAGTCCACAAACCTGGAAGTTTGTATGAAACCAGGCATCTCCACTTTAATTACTTTCAGCCTTTATACACAACCAGCCCTAACATTATGGCCTCCGTCAGCTCCAGTCCTCCAGTTGCTGGTGGATGTCTGCAGGCCTCAGTAACGGCTTCCTGCCAGCTCTTCTTCCCTCTCAGCCTTCTTCCATCAGTCTTTTTCAGACTTTTTCAAACCATCCAGCATCAGGAAGAGCTGAGACTCTGGCATTTAAAATCAGCTCTCAGTGCTTTTCCATTTGCAGCTTACTAGAATCGCATCACCAAATCTAATCTGATTCACTGGGCTTGTCTTTTAAATGAGATTCAAATGAATTAACTCGCTGGAAAAAAAAAAAGAATATTTTCTGCAATGAATAAAACACAGATTTTGGAAGTTCAACCAAGTGCAGTACAAAAACTTGTTATAGGGATACATAATAAGTCTGAGATATGTACGAGTCCCGTTGCTCAGGGTTTTGATCACAATAGACTGACATCGAGTGAATCCTGGCTGGTTATAGTTCTTAAACAGGAGCGAGCCCCATACGAGCACCTCACATCTTCACCAGCAGCTCATCTGCTCCAGCCAGGCTCAGGCGTCTGTATGGGTCTTAATCCGCTCCTGGTTTTCCATCAGACTGCCAGTTCTGCCAGTACTTTTCCTGATCACGTCTGCCTCATCAGTGCAAACACCTTCACCTGTGCTCCCTCCCCTGATTTAAACCCCCTCTCTCCTCTCAGTCTCTGCCAGATTATCTTTAGCAGCATGCAAAGTTCTCCAGCGGTTTTCTCCCGGATTGCTTCCCTGGTTTGGACCCTGCTGGTCCCTGACCGGTCCTGGTGGTCCCTGCCCCGGTGACCTGAACAGTCTTCTGCCCCTGACCCCTCCGCCTGCTGGCCCCTCGTCTGTCTCCAGAGTGTTGGGACGATAAACCGGTGAACTGTTGGACGCTGGTCTCAGTCTGTGCTGTATTTGTGTCCAGCCTCACACCCGTTACAGTATGGGTGGAGAAAAAGGTCTGAAGATCTGCGCCCAGGATCCTGGAGGCCGGCAGCAGAGGCCTGAGCCCGGCTCCATCCGTGGCTCCGTCGGGGGTGGGGGGGGGGTAGACAGCCCGGGCTGCTCTGCCTCCTCTTAACGCAGCGCTGAGCATGACCTACTTTTGCTACATGATAGAACAGAGCAGAGGTCCTGGCCACATATTTCTGGGGCCTTTTTTTTTTTCTTTTCTTTTTTTTCTGGCAGAGCTGAAACAGAGCGGTTTCATAAGAGTCTGGGTATATTTACGTAACGATTCCTGCCCTGCTGGCCTGATGTCTCAGGTAAACACTGGAATGAGGGATTTGGGGTTCGTAATCCACTGGCTTTGTGAGGATGACATCCCCATGCATGTTTAAACCAAAAGACGGGACGCAGCGGCGGCTTTAGCAGCTGGACGCGTTCCTGACTCTGCAGAGCCCCCTTCAGGAAGGAAGCAGGGGGGGGGGGGGGGTTTACGGGTGACGTGGGATGCTGCTGTTGGCCGTGTGTGTGCCCGTCACATGTGAGTCACAGATGTCGCTGGCATCCTCGTTTCAAGTGATGCTTTGTTCACATGGAGGGAGACTTCCGGCGCCACGGTGGTTCTGATCCGACCGGGGCCGGGCCGGCTGCCCCCCCCCCCC